AAAACTTAAAGGCATTCAGATGTAGCTGCCTTGTGTTTTGAGGCCACAGGACATGACCCAGGAGCCCAGGCCCCTAGCCCTTCCTCCCTCAGACCCAGGAGCCCAGGCCCCCAGCCCCTCTGCCCTCAGACCCAGGGGTCCACGCCCTCTCCACCTTTGGGACTCAGACTTCCAGGACTCAGATATCTGCTCCCCAGCTTCTCTCCTCCACACACAACCACCTCTCTATTTCCCCAGGATGTTCTTTCGCTGGTACTTCAGTGGCAACTAACAAAGGTATCTTTCTGTTCCCTATCCTGTTTCCATCCCTTAAATAAAGAATATATTTGAATGCTACCAATGCTTTCATCTTTGAAGGTGGAAACTGCCCATTTAGGTAGGAGGAGGGGCAGCATGCCCCAAATATATGCCCCGGGGACTGTGCCTCCAGAATGACTGTCATATTATCGCCCGTCACCATGCAGGCCCTGTGTTCAGAGATTTAGGCATAAGCCCGACCAACCCCAGATTTCTGGCAGCCTCCTTGCCATTTCCAGGGGCAGAAGACACCCTCAGCAAGATTTTTCTCACCCCTGCTGGACCAGGGTACATGCTGCTTCCTGCCTAAAATGATGTGTTCTCCCTTTTTTGTCCGATTAACTCGGTTCTGATTCCCCCCCATACAGCCTTTGCATGTACAGTAAAAACCTCGAAATTACAGACTAATTTGAGCCAGGGAGTGTCTGTTAAAGCTGAAAGTCCATTTTATAGTAAAGTAGGTTTTTCTGAATGCATATGTTAAAGAATTGACAGATTAGTTTACCTGTTTTTACTTATGTAGACACATTTTTGTAATTAAAATTAAGTATGTATGAAAAGTTTAACTTCACAGAAAAGCTTTCTTTCTTTTTTTTAAAATATATTTTATTGATTTTTTACAGAGAGGAAGGGAAAGGGATAGAGAGTTAGAAACATCGATGAGAGAGAAGCATCTATCAGCTGCCTCCTGCACACCCCCTACTGGGGATGTGCCTGCAACCAAGGTACATGCCCTTGACCAGAATTGAACCTGGGACCCTTCAGTCCACAGGCCGATGCTCTATCCAGCGAGCCAAACCGGCCAGGGCTAGAAAAGCTTTCTATATGTCTTACTGTAATTTCAAGTTTGTACTGAATAGGTCCAGCAAATGCATGCCTTCACCAGTTACAGAATAAACAAATGCACCCGGCTGGGGCGTGGCTTAGGGCACATGGGAACATCCCCTCACAGAGTTAAAACTGCTGCAGAAAGTCAGGCCACTGGACAACAGAACCAATTAACCCACGGGATGTGATGTGATCACATACTAAGCATTCCCCAAACATCGTGTATGAGCAGGGACTCCTGGATTTAAATATGTAGACTATCGTCGTAGATATGTAATATTTATTTATGTCGGCAAAATTACCGCAGTGTGTTTTCCTACATATGGCCAATTCAAAATAACAGTGAATAACAACAACAAAAAATAACCTGTCGATTTCATTATAAGCAAATGTTGGTTAAAAGCATTTTAAAATGAATAGGGTGTTACTTTTCACATATGACTAATGGACCGGAAATTTTGTCCGTTGAATCCGAAGTTTGTTAAATCGAGGTCCGCAAAATCGAGGGTGTACTGTATTAACTCATTTAATTCCCATGACAGCTCTCTTTTTGTTCCTTGAACATGAAAAGCTCGGTCCCAGGGGCAGGCCTTTGCATGTGCTGTTCTTTGTACATAAAATGACTGCCTCACTGCACAGGTCCCAGCTCATCCTCCTATTTTATTTTACTTTTTAATGTTTTTATTGATTTCTAAAGAGAAAGGAAGGGAGAGGGAGAGAGAGAGAGAAACATTGATGACAAAGAAACATCACCGATCAGCTGCTGCCTGTACGCCCCCTAGTTGGGATCAAGCCCACAACCTGGGCATGTGCCCTGACGGGGAATCGAACCAGTGATCTCCAGTTCCATGCTGGCCTTGCTTATCCCCCTAGTTTAGCACATGCAGAGCACTTGCTTGGAGCTAATATAAACGTGTTTTGGTTTTTTTTATCTGGTTTTGTGTTTTCCTCACCTAAAACATAAGCTCCCTCTGGCCGTGTACTCATTCTCATTCACTGGCGTGTTCATTCACTCAGTGAGTCTTTACTAAGTGCTTAGTATGTGCCAGGCATTTTGAAGGTACTGTCGAGACAGCAGTGAAGAGATCAGAACAGATGAAGATCTGCACCCTCGTGGAGTTTAGATACTAGTGGACAGTCGGACAATGAACAAGAAAATTAAGCAAAATAACATTTGCCTTCAGTCATCTATATATATAAAAGCGTAATATGCAGATCGACTGGGTGGCGGAATGACTGGTTGCTATGACGCACACTGACCACCAGGGGGCAGACGCTCAACATAGGAGCTGCCCACAGGCCCTGCTGGCCAACCTCTGGGTCCTCCCCCACCCTCCGCAGGCTCCAATCGCTGGATGGGGATCGGGGAATCTGGGGTGGGGGTGGGGGGGCAGAGCCAGCTGTGGGCCACCTGGCAAGATAGCCCTGATCACGGGCCAGGCCTAGGGACCGTACCATACATGAATTTCGTACACCGGGCCTCTAGTATAATAATATGTGGGATGGAGAAAACACAGCAGGGAAACAGATAGGGAAGGTTGGGAGGAGGGAGGGAGCAAGAGGAGCTTTGGAGAAAGCCTTACATTTATTTATTTATTTATTTTTTGAATATATTTTTATTGATTTCAGAGAGGAAGGGAGAGGGAGATAGAAACATCAATGATGAGAGAGAATCATTGATTGGCTGCCTCCTGCACACCCCCAATCCGAGATCGAGTCCACAACCTGGGCATGTGCCCTTGACCGGAATCGAACCCAGACCCTTCAGCCTGCAGGCCAACGCTCTACCCACTGAGCCACACCATCTAGGGCTATTTATATTTTTAAAAATAATGCTTTTATTGATTTCAGAGAGAGGAAAGGAGGAGGAGAGAGAGTTAGAAGTATCAATGATGAGAGAGAATCAATTGGCCGCCTCCTGCAAGCCCCCTACCGGGGATTGAGTCCACAACCCAGGCATGTGCCCTGACCAGGAATCACACTGTGACCTCCTGGTTCATGGGTTGACCCTTAACCACTGATCCACACTTGCTGGGCAAAGGCCCCACATTTAAATAAATAAGAGGTCCTGGCCTGTGTGGCTCAGTCGGTTAGGCATTGTCCCATACACCCAAGGGTTGCTGGTTCGATTCCAGTCTGTGCACATGTATGGGGTGTGCAGGAGGCCGGTGATCATGTTTTTCTCTCACATCCATATTTCTCTCTCCCTCTCCCTCTTTCTCTGAAATAATATAATAAATCCATAAGGGGATGAAGTGTGAGCTATGTGGGTATTTTTGTTAAAGGTGTTCCAGCAGCCCAGCTGGTGTGGCTCAGTGGTTGAACCAGGAAGTCTGAATCAGGTTGGGTTCCCAGTAGGGGCACATGCTTGATTTGTGGGCTCGATCACCAGGGTGAGGTATGCAGGAGG